CCATAAACTGAGACTATGCATAACACATTCCCACTCTCCCCTTAAGTGGAGCTGTCTAGCCTGTCATCTGGAAGCCCATGGTTCTGGTTTATTCCTCACTTTGAGTCATGTTTTCAGCAATTTGCCATCACTTGGGAATTGCTTTGTTCGATCAGGTCTTGAGATCTTGCATCTTGAGGACAGTAATCCAGTATGTGCTTCTTATAGTGGCCAACAGTAGAAACTTCAGAAGAAAGTTTTAGCTGGCAGAGAGGAGGATATTGCCACCCAGTTCTAGGAAATGATCTTTTATCTTTTACAACACATCTGAATATGCCTTAAGAAAAGATTGTTCTAATTTTAAGACTAGTAGTTAATAACCGTGCGTAGCTTTTGTACTGTGACATCTTGGGGTTAAATTTCCTTTGTGTGTTCAGACAATATTTTAATTTAACATCTCCTTGGTCTCTGTGCTCATGAGAAGAAGAGGTGCACCTCTACTCCAAACTGTAGCTCTTGTGACTTGGGGATGGCTTCTTTTGTATTTCTGGTGTATTTTTTTCCAGGTAGTCTCTCATTATTCATTTCTGAACTTACTTTCTTTCTCAGAAGGGGCTAGTGAAGGTGAATGAGCATTAGTGTGCGTAGGATTTCAGATGGATTTTTAATCTTTAGCTCTCTAAAAACTTATAAGGAAAAATGTCAGAGTGCTTATTTTAAAGTTTTATCTATTAGCTTGGGGAAAATACAATTCATGCCCTGGAAAGGTGGATTAATCCATAGCAGTCCCTGGCTTTTACTGCCTTAATTGAGGCTGGTAGGTGAGAATTGGTTGAATGTTATAGACAAAAATTTCAGTCTAGAAGAGATGTGATTATCTTGTCTTTCCTAATAGTCCTTAGCTTGCCCTGGATTCTTGCCTTAAGTCCAGTAAGTGATTATTTTCACAAGCTGAAAGTACAGTCTTCAGCACAAGTTCTAGAGTCATGTGTCTTGGTTTCAAGCCATGATGATTATTAAATGATCCTGGTTAGAGTTGTTTTCTCTTAGGTCATCCTAGAAAACAGTTAATTAAAACCTTTAGCCTTTTCTCCCCCCGTTTTTCTTCTCCCTGTGCCTTGTATTTTGAAAGCTCTTGTGGTGACCTTGGACCAAGTTTGCTGTTTATTGGCAGAGAGTGCAGAGAGGACTGAGTTGGAGTTGTGGAGCAGTGAGTGCTTCCTACAGGTAACTTCACACCAAAAGCTTGCTTTGCTGAAACTCATGAGTATGATTCTGGTTTTTTGGAGGGGTTTTTTGGGGGGTCAGTTCTCCCTTATGGAATAGCAAAAGCATTTAACTTGCTGTAATTTGCAGATAATTCTTATAAAAGTGTAAGCTTGGAAGTAACACATATTGATTTGTACCTGCAGAAAGGCGTATTTTTCTGGTCTGTCCCCTTTGCACTCTGCTGACTGATTCCTTCCCCGGTTCACGGGGAACATGGGATTTCTAAGTAACTTTAGACTGACCCTGTGTCTGACTCCTTGCTTTCCAAGTCCAAAGTGACTGTTGGTTCAGCTTTGGCACTTGAAAAGGCTGTTTACTGCTAGTGTGTTGTTAGATGGGAATGGTTATTTGGCAGTTAATGGCAGCTAGTCCTTATTCCAAATCCTGGGCTTTGGCAGTCAGGCACCTGAATTTGATTTTTTTTTTGAGCCTAGAACTACAGCAAATACACATCAAAAAGTTTCTAGTTTATTTTTTACGTTCCCTCCTTAGTACTTACTCCTTGGTATATAGAGAGATAATAGATGGGACAAGCCAACAGCATTTCTGCGGAGTGGCACCATTGAATTAGACAAGGCTGTAGTAGGAGTAAAGCTGATCACTTACCTGAAAAACTCGCTCCCAAGTGCCAGTTTTGTGCCTCCTTGCCATGTGGTAGTAGGTAGTTGGAAGATGTATATTTAAAAAAAAAAAAAAGAAAAAAAGTGGCTAGATCTTAGTGCTGAATAAAACATATAAAGGTGTCCCTGTGTGTATAAGCTAGTACTGGTGCTGGGAATGCTTCAAAGAAATAAGGTGTCTGTTGAAAGGTATATTTTGGTTATGCCCGTATAGTCATAGCATTTTAAAAAAAAAAAAAAAATCATACTGATGTAATTTGAGTCATCTGCTGTTCTCTGGAAGGAAAAAAAACCCCAAATCTGTAATACTTCTGTTTACTGATCAGTTTAAGCCAGTGTACTTTCTACGCCGGGCACTGTCTAAGCACCTTCCTTCCCATCCCTCCGTCGTCTCCCTCTGCTGCAGCTATCCTGCCAACCCAAGCCCTAAAACTCTGGTTTGTTTTCAACTCCATTAGCCCTCTGATCTAATTCACTGTGTAGTTTTTGCAGTGGCATGAGGGAGCAGGGAGGGAGGCAGATAGTGTGAATTGGTATCACCACAGAAGGAAAGAAAGCAGAACAATATCAGCTATGTTTGGTGTTGCAGAAGGATTTAGGGATTTAGTACAGTGTCCACTTGTGGGCATCTCTTAAAGGGAATGATGGACAAAGCTTTGAGAACCTTGACTGGGTAATGGTTCAGAAAAGTAGGGCTGATGAAAGAGATGGAAATAACAGTGGGTTTTTTGTTTTGTGGTGGGATTTTTTTTTTCTCCTTCCACTTCTCTCTAGAGAGAAGTGACAAGCACTTCAGTCCTCAGAAAGCTTAATAAAGAAGGTAGTGATGGTTATTCTGATTGAAGAACAAAAAGAAATGTTTCTTTTGCAGCAAAGATGACCTAAGCTTACTGTTAAGAAAATACATCTGAAGTGATCAAGTGTGGAGCCACTGGACAGGGTAGTGGAGGAGGCCTGCTTTTGTTTTCGAAGTTTGACTGATACCTGGTCGAAATAGCATAGGTGTACTTCCTTGTGTGCTTTGATGCAGTGGAAATAAATCTCTTGAACCTTTTTTAAAAGTTAGTTTATGTTTTGTCTTGACCTTCTGCAGATCAAGATAATTTCAGATTTGGTGGCTTTGTAATTTCACTTACCATAATAAACCACTTACCATAAACATAAAACCAGTTAACACAATATTCACATGTAACTAATGCTGTAAAGGCACATACTGAAAATTCAAAAGAAGTGCTGAGTAATATCTGTAATGGATTCTTCTGTCTTCAGTGTTGGACTTTGATACAAGATAATGTTGTATGCAGAGCTTAAAAAAGGTTGTATCTGAGTAAGCCCATTTGTCAAACTATTTTTGTGTGGAACTAATTAAACCTCAAAGCAATAAGTTATTTTTTAATTACACCTAATGTTAGGCTTGTGGATTTGTGCAATCACAGGTAACATCCTTATTTAGATGAGGCCTGATAAGAGACTTCTCTGCCACCAAATTTCTATCAAGAAGTTTCATCCCTATTTTGTAAGGAAGTATCTGAGCTTTGATTTATAGGAAGATGACTGACTGGATCAGGTTATGGCAGAGTGAGAGAGCCCGAGCAGCATCAAGTTTAAGCCTTGTTTCAGCCCATTTTCATCTCTGTTATCAGCTGATGCTGTATTGATGGCAGGCAGTGGTATTGATGGCAGGCAGCGTAGATCTAAAAGAAAAGGTAGGTGAACATAGAGGACTTCCAAACTGGGATCATGTTGGGAAGCACAGGTAACAGGCACCATAGTATTTGCTACTCTGCTGTCCTTCAGGCCTGTTCAAAGCAGTGGTTTCTACCAGAGGGTGTTCTGAGCGTCAGCCCTGCAGTAGCTGGAAAGGAAGGCACAGAAGAACTGTCCTCTGCGTGCCAAGAGACAGGTCTGTCCATAGTACTTGCTAGCTGTCTTACTGTTCCGTCAGCACACAGTTCAGGTTCATGGCTCTGCTCAGGAGGAGCTTGTGGGGAGCATATCTGGATCAGACTGTCAGGAGTTTCCTTTGCCTGACTTGTGCTCAGGAAGCTCTAGGGTAGAAGTCGGGCTAAAGAGTGGTTTGCCAAGGTATGAATCACTAATAGTAACTTCTTATTTTCAGTTCCCTGTTGGATGCCTTAGGAATCTTGCCCTTACAAGAGAAAAAAAAAATCTTATTTGCTACTTGGGAAAGGATAAGAGCTGGTTTTAATTTGTAATTGGAACATATGTACTCTGTAGCTTATCAGCATCCTGAAATACGAAGCCTTCTTGCCTAAACTTTCAGCTTTTGCAGGTCACTTAGTCTTTCTCAGGAGCAGTTGCAAGCTGTGTAACTTGTCCTCTGTGCTGATCTGCCTGCATACATCACCTGATCGTGATGGATGCAGATGTGGTTTGAGTAGGCAAGGAGGGAATGACTGTGGGGCCCCTGCAGAAAGAAGGCAGCAGCAGGCAGGCGATGGGCCACCAACTGTGACTCACTCCCTGCTCCTGGCTCAAGTTTGCAGGTGGTGGGGGGTGCAAGCTCTGGCCTGTACTAAATGTTTCTAGCAGGTAAATTCATGATTTTGGCTCGTGATTAAAGGTTTATGTACTAGAAAAAGAGCAATACTGAGCTTGGGTATGGTGGTTTCCTATGTGAACATCAATTATCTAATTTTTGTTTGTTATGTTAACACTAACATGGGTCTCCGAGTTGCTCAGTTAAGTTGATATTTCTGTCAGTATTAGAATTTGGAATGATGGATGATGCTTTCTTTTGCCATCCAGTGAGTAGGTGCAGGAGGATATACAGAGAAATATGAGCATTAAATCAGGATGCAGTAACTTTACTAGAGGGGAAGCCTCCTAGTCTGTTGCCAGAGGCTCTCAAGAGCAGTGCTGTGTGATAAAGATAGCTGTCAGCTGGATGGAACATCTTTGCTTTTGAAAAAGAGACTAATTGGTTGCTAAAAATTCTTAGGTGTTAATACTTATTTAAATCTAGCCCAAGTCAGTGTCTCTGAGCCAGCGGGTTCTGTTAGATATTTTAAGAAATGCGGGGTTGGTACCTTCCTTGGGGAGGGCTGCTGTTGAATCAGTTCTGTCCTAACAACAAACTTTTTTTTTTTTTTTTTTTTTTAAATTTTAGGTTACTTGTGAAAGATGGTGGATCGCTTGGCAAACAGTGAGGCAAATACTAGAAGAATAAGTATAGTGGAAAACTGCTTTGGAGCAGCTGGTCAACCTCTGACTATTCCTGGTCGTGTTCTGATCGGAGAGGGAGTACTAACAAAGCTGTGTAGGAAGAAGCCCAAAGCGAGGCAGTTCTTCCTATTCAATGACATTCTTGTTTACGGTAACATTGTCATCCAGAAGAAGAAATACAATAAACAGCACATAATCCCACTGGAAAATGTCACTATTGATTCCATCCAGGACGAGGGAGAGTTACGGAATGGGTGGCTTATCAAGACACCAACAAAGTCTTTTGCGGTTTACGCTGCCACCGCCACAGAGAAGTCCGAGTGGATGAACCACATAAATAAGTGTGTTTCTGATTTACTTTCCAAAAGCGGGAAGACTCCTAGCAATGAACATGCAGCTGTCTGGGTACCAGACTCGGAAGCCACTGTGTGCATGCGTTGTCAGAAAGCAAAATTTACGCCCGTCAACCGTCGTCACCACTGCCGCAAGTGTGGCTTTGTTGTGTGTGGGCCTTGCTCTGAAAAGAGGTTTCTTCTCCCGAGCCAGTCTTCCAAGCCTGTGCGAATTTGCGACTTCTGCTATGATCTTCTTTCTACTGGGGAGATGACTGCTTGTCAGTCCACTAGATCAGACTCCTACAGCCAGTCACCTAAATCATCTTTAAATGATGTATCTGATGATGATGATGATGAAGACAGTAGTGATTAAGGACCAAACATTTTTTCTGTGTGTTGCAATTTATGTTTCAAACCATATGGAGCTGCTTTTGGGGAAGTCTACAGTGAGGTTCCTCAGAAAAATCCTGTTTTAGCCATAAAATATGCCTGAATATCTTCAATTGCAATGTGCCTCAATCTATGAATTCTCTAGACAATAGGTTTTTCACTCCTCTGCAGGGATAGACTGTTGCAAATGTTACCAGAATATTTTCCAACTTCTTATACTTGAGTTGTGTCTAGGTTAAACTTTTGTGGAAGATTGGAGAATAAACAATACTTTCTTAATTTAACAACCCATACTTCCTAATGTTTCGTATTGATATGTTACGTGGGGTTTTTTTGGACATGGGGAGGAAAACTGTAAGCATGCATGGAACAGTGATGTTTTGGTTAATCTCTTAGACCATCTTGTTTTTCTAACCATGGTATATCATAAGTTGAAATGTGACATAACTTACAAACTTAAATGTCACAAAACTTGGAAATCTTGTTTTGCTCTTATTTATGACTTCCTATGCCAAGCAGTGCCTTGTACCAATTGTGCTGAATTCAGGAAGAAACAAACCTATTCTGTGTTGTCTGTATTTGCCTGATGCTGGTATCTGAGAGATTGTTGGTGCTATTGAAAATAACTGCTGTGTTCAAAGTGGAGCTTTGACAAGGTCGTAACTGTACCCCACGGTGGGTGACGGAGTCCTGAATCACACGTCCTCACCTGTGCAGGCAGACCCGAGGACTCTGCAGATTCCCCCAGGCTTCAGCAGGTTCTCCTTGCATTACGGGTCGGGATCTTGAGATGAGAAGCTTAGGGTGACTCTTCACGAGGATTTATACGTTTTCTTTTCAGAACAGTTTCTGTGTTTCAAATTTGGCAAATGCATACTGAAGTTTTAGTTGGGTGATATAGCATTTGGATGTGATAGCCTATATGTTTTTGAAAATAGTTCTCCAAAATGACACTAAATTGTTTCTTAAAACATTGGTGAGAGGGTTGGTTTTCTTTCTTTTTTCAGGAGTTTTATTGGCTTGTTTAAAAATAACCTTGTATTTTGAACAAAAAGCCTGCAACTATCCTTATAAAATTGGCTTTTCTTTTTACACAGCTGACCTCAGGATAAATGTGAGATGCAAGTTCTTTCATTCTAAATGTATACCCAGGACCAAGAAAGATGTATTTAAGAACTGTAATGAAATTGTCAGTGCAGAAAATGTCTCTACCATAGTATTCATTTTTACTTTTAATAAGTTCTTGAATACTGAAATGTCATGTTCCAATATAAATGTAAAAGTTAGACTTGCAAAGACATGTTAAATCCTCAAATGCTATGTTTCTATATTTTTATAATGGTAGCATCAATTTTGAAGCAGAAAAACCTCTTTGAAATAGTTGTATGAATATAGTAGCAACTGACTTTATAGCAAAAAATGTTAAATTTTTGTATCTCTTTAAGTGACAATTTCTGCACTGTTTGCCTCAGTTGGCAATAATTGGATTAAATATTTATTGAATAAACAATCAATGCTGCATATTGCACTAGTCTCCCTTTCTGTATATTGTAAATGTCAGTTTGTGGGTTGTTGTGGTTGGTGTGTTTTGGTTTTAGGTTTTTTTTGGTTGTTGTTTTTGTTCGTTTGTTTTTTTTTTAAATAAAAATTAGAGCACTTCAAAGCTGTAGCTCTCCATGAGATTTCTGATAGCTAAAGATGCACTTAGCATCTTAGTTTACAATACATTGCTTCAGGTGAAAATTGTGTTAATATTTTTAGCTTGGGCAATTTCTAAAAATAAGGGTTTTTTTTAAAAAGCACTGAAGAGTATTTGATCTACTTTGAAATAAACATAAAAAGGGGAAAATGCTTTCTGATGGAGACAAGGGACCAGGAAGGCTCTGTAAAATTGCCAGACGAGTGTATACAATTGTACGTACTCAAAGACTAGCTGCGATAAGTAATTACACAGACTTAGTCCTTGAAAGACGAGGGAATGGTGACCTGCAGCAGGGGAAAACAGGCTCTTCTGAGAAGGCCCTTTGAATTAATAGTGCTTACTTTTTGTACCTCTCTTACTCAATATTTATATTTCAGGAATGGAGAATTCTCAGCTTCAGTTTTTCTACAGAATCAAAGTACAAACCTCCTTCGTACATACCTTCAATGACAAACAATCTTCTTCTTCCTGATGCAATTGTTTCCTCTTTCTTAAGCTGTCAAATATTAACTTGTCTTGTTAAAGAGCCCATCTCCTCATGTGCTTTCCCTGTCTTTCTATACATTGCACTTCCTTTACAGCACTTTCCAGGGGGTGGGAAAAGGGTTGCTGAGAGTTAGATGACATCCTATATTTTGCAGAATGTTCTTGTACCTACTTTAAATATCTTTTTATCTGTGAATGAAACTTACACTGTGCTGCACTGATCCCTGAAACTGTAACCAAACCAATGCGTGTGTGTGTGAGACTTTTCATCTGAAATTGAACTTTTTGAGAAAGCATTAAGGAAAAAAAAAAAGTTTATGGTAATACTCCTATTCCTCAGTGGTATTTGTTTAAAATTTTACAAAATGGACTTAACATCGACTTCTCTTGTACTTACAAATTCCTGAAAGGGCTCATTTTGTATTTTGTAATCTTGTTCTGTCAAATTATTTTATTTACAAATATACGGTGTAGCCTCAAGCCTATGTGTTTACTTTTCTTTAACTGTGGGCCTTCAAGTGTGACAGAAAATAGGGCGGCTGGTTTTTTCTTGATGAGTATTTTAGCAGCAAGTTTGTTCACTGACAGGAGGGATTAATAAACTGGGAGTATAAGCATACAGGAGGAGATTTAAGACTAAATTGGAAACTAATTATGGATTTAGAAACAACTTACACATTTGAGTAACTGTTTAAAACAAGGATGACCAAGTGTGTTGCAAAGCTGAGCTGGTTTTTGTTGAACCCCTGCTGGGTATGAGCCTTCTCTTGGTATCAAACTGGAGAGGAACTTTAGTACATTTTCCGGAGCTTCTACACTCTTAAGATCTTAAAATAGTGAATAAATACAGCCCGTCTCCTTATATTTTCTGTACTTTTTTTTGTTTGTGGTAGACTTAACTCTCTCGTTTTTGATAAGCTTTCCAAATCCCGTGGAACGAAAGCAGCAGCAGTGCTTGCAGTCTCTCTCATGCAAGGCTCTGCAGTCGGCTTCTGCTTTGTACCAAATGCTGTATTGAAGAATATAGAAGTACTCATTTGCTTTAGCTGAGTTCACATTTTGCCCACTCTCTACCAGTATTTCATAGTTCGTTTGCTGGAAATATTAAAGGAAAAGTATTTACTGAAGGTTTTAATAAAAACCTACTAATTTCAGCCTCTGCACCTGAACTGCCATTGTTATCTTCAGGTAAATGAGACTGGTTTTCCTTTCAGGTTTGATGCGGCTGAACTTCCTATACCTATTGAGTAATTTGTGAGGGTCAAGCGCTGTTAGTTTAAAATAAAATTTAACAAAATGGATTAATGAGTGTTGAGTCTGCAGCGGGGCTTTTACAGTCTCTTCTCTAATTATGAAAATGACATGCAGAAACCTTGCGTTTATGTGGGACTTCCTCCTCGGAGCATACGCTTTAGCTAATCTGTTAATGCAAATGAAACGGTGGTTATCATAGTGGTTAATGTGTAAGTGGAAGCAGATTATGGGTCGTATTGTGATTTTTGTCTTTTCCTGTAATTTCCCTGAACAGATAGAAGAATGCCTGGTTTTAGCAGATACAGCTGGAAAGGAGTCAGAGTACTGATTCCCCCCCCCGCCCCCAAGGAGGAAATTATTGTAGTAAATATTAGAATGTCTCTTGGCTGTTCCCTGCTTTTCATTTGATGAAATCTGAGCTACTTGTTTGTGCCTGCAGCCGGTCTCTTGCCAGCGCTGGCTCCCGTGACTCATCAGGTAGCCAGCACTCTTCACTGCAAAGAATCTCTGCTCTGTTCCCTTGCTGCGATGGAGTTTGGAGCTGCCAGGGAGCCCAGCACAGTGATGATGGGTCTGCTGTACAGTGACAGCTCTACTGTATGGCAGATATCTGAAAATATTCTTAAACTCAATCAGGAATAAGAAATCTGAACCTCAGTCTTCAGAGTAGAGATTCATGGCTAAGTTATTTTCTAATTGTCTGTGGAATACTACCTGTGGCCCAAGTAAAAATCAAAACACTTCAACTACACTTGGACACATTTAGGATAAAAACTAACAATGTAAATTGATTACCGGGGAAGTAATCTGCAAAGGAGCAGGAGGCATTTCAGGGTCACTTAGTGCATCTATCAGTTGTTTAGCCTGCTTAAGTGGAATATTGGGATGAAGTTTTAAATTTATAAAACTTGCATTTACTTGTATCTAGTATTTTAAGAAACTCTGTCTCAGATTAATTTCTGCAAGTACAAAAAACAGCAGCAAAACCAAAGGTGATGCAGAGAGACCTGATTCACCCCTGGTTCTGAGTCATGGCAAGAACACATCTAAAAGAAACCTTTTTTAGAAACTCTTTTACACAAGATGGTACCCCCAGCTGAAGTAGTGTTCAGGGAGAAAGCAAGAGCTCATTTTCTGCAGATGTTGTGAAGCATAACAGTAGTGAGTTCAAGGGCTTAAATCTTTCAACAGTCAGATCTTCAAGAGCATCTGTTAACCTTGCTTAGGTAGTCTGTTTTGCTGATGAGAAGTAGATGGTAATGTGGGCAGCTCTATTACAGATGTGAGTGGCTTGCTAAGCAATTCATTTTTGCTTCTGGATAGACTTACTATTTAGATTTTTTTTTTTTCTTCCCCAGCAGTTGTTGCCTGTATGCAAATTTAATCGTAGTCTGCATTGTAGTAAGAGTTAGGGCTTTGCTGGCTGCTTTTTATAGACCCTGGTGCTGCTGTTGAGCTCTTCTAACCTGTGAGCTTGTAACGGGTTTGCATAACAGCAGCAGCCTGAGAAAGCAGTGAAGGAATGGAACCTGCTCGGTCTGCTTGAAATAGCAATTGGTTCCTTCTGGTACCCATTTGCCCCAGTCCAGGTCCGTGCCGTCTCTCCAGAATGACGGCTCCAAAATGAGCTGGGACACCTGCTATATATAAATATATAGGTAGAGCCAGTTCCTTTCTTCCTTCCCCACCTGACTTGCTTCATACTTGCCTTATTGGGGTATTACCCTGGACGATAAGATGAATAACTGAGGGTTGAGCCTGCCTCTCCTGTCTGACAAGGATGATGTGACTGCTATTGCAGTGTTAAGATGGGTTGTGGGATGTGTACGTGTGTGCCAGGAACAAGGAAAACAACAGAGCTAAATGCTATGCTGAGAAAATGAACGAGCTAGTAAATTAATGTCTGGAAGGAAAGACCTGGCCTCTCAATCTACCGTGA